ATGAAAATCAATCAAGTAACGGCCAGTAGTCCCTTGGTGGTCGCCCGTGTATGGTGGTGTAGTGCCCAACCGGCAACAACAACCAGGACCACCCTCTGATGGTGCGGGTACGGCAAGAAAGGCCAGCGTTTGTTAATGGTATCACACCTTGTCGTATCGGAGGCCATGGATGTGGTTGGCATCCCCCTTCCATGGAGACAACTCCATCTCTCTCTATCACATCTTCATCGCTATGGCGGAATCTAGTTTAACGAGATTTACCCCTTCGCGATTTGGCGAATTAGTGGGAGTGCTCTTTCGATTCCATGTAGTTCATGCTCCAGCCATGGACGAAGCTAACCATTGTTGTCCCTCTAGCTATGGGAAAGCTATCCATGGTTGAACCAATAATACTTATACAACATGGTCAACGGTCATGTATATCATCATCTTTCTATACAAAGGGACAAAGTTACCGATCGATGGTAATCCCAATCTATAACATATCTCTTTTATATTCTAAGTGTTAGCAGGTACCACCAACCAACGAAGCTTGGCCTCGGATAACAATATTGCAGCACACACCCATGTCATCCACTCTCTATTATGGCACAATGTCAGCCATGCATAGCAACAATAAAGCAATACCTGCCACGGCTAGTAAATAAATGGGAGCAGCGAACGCTGCATATATTCACATATTGCTTGTATCTAAAATACCCAAATATATGCTCATATGTACTTTGTTATTATCGCAGATAAGCGCAAGTTCATGAATCCAAACTCATGGGAATTACTTGGGGATAAATTATGGGGGTAGTGGCTTGGTAGGCATGGATAGGTGAATGTTGCCTTTCTGGCGAAGTAAGACATTCATGTTGGCGAAGCTTGGAGTTGGCGATGTTGCCTGATTTCGCCAAAAAAGGCTAGGTGGCAAAGGTGTGGAAACAAACTTAACTCCCGGAACAGTATCCTTTGATGCTAACTAGAGGCTGGAAATCCCGTTGAAAACCAACTGAAGATGTCGCTTGAATCACCATCAACAACTTGCAGCCATATTTAATGCAAGGGTGGCTGGACAAGTTTCCTAGCCTTGGAAACTGCTATGGAGGATCACTATTTGCTTGCAAAATCTCCCAAAATCCCAAATAGAGCCTCGGGAACTCACCAAATCATTGTGCAGGTGGTGTTTCTGCCGGTTACACTCAAGCATCCCCCAAAAACGGAGTCTCGTATGGTTGGGAGAATTTTCAATAATGGCCAGTTTCCAGTCCATCGTTGGAACCAGCGAAGCTTCGTTGGAACCAACGAGCAACTCATGATGCTAACGCCAGAGCAATCATCAACAGTGCCTAGAACCACTCTAAGCTTGACAACTCACTTGGACCCATCTGTACATTTCTGACATATTAAGTAGGATTACAGAACTACCCCTGATTGCATATATCATCCCTTCCTTGCCATTTAAAAGGGGACACGCAGGATAACCCAAATTTTCTTCTCACGCATCAGATCCCCATTCTTCCTCCCTCATAAAAATTACTTCACCTGCAATCCATCATCTCGCATGTTAAAAGCTACCCAGAAATCATCGTTTCTCTATATCTCCAATCTTGCAAAATGACTTCTAGCCTCGCATGATAATCTCTAATATCGCAGAGTATTCCCAAATTTGCAAGATATTATAGTTGGGAAACAACAGCTTACAGTTCCATCACCCATGTAATTCTTCTTGAGCATCAAACGATCAAGCCGCATGGTTAGCATCAAAGAACGGGATTGAGAGTTCCACCCATAAGCGTCCCCAAGTGAACACCTTTCCTTCTCCCATCACTATTTTTGAGTTTATCCTTTTCATTTTTTTGTTCCTAAAGAAATTTTGGAAGGAGGGTCATTACGCCCTTCGTGTTCAACATGAGAGTTGTGCGTTATAGGGTGAAACTGCTCACTAGATATGACAGAGGTTTTATTTGGTGTCATTACTACTATGTCATGGTGTTCTATGTGTAAAGGCAACTTCAAAATTGTAATCTTTGAACCCCATATGTTTATCATCTTCGTTACCCTTCCAGCCATATATGCATACTCTTATTGATGGTTTTGGTAGTTGTGTAATCATTCCGAGTCTGCAAGAAGTTTGATGTCGTTGTTCGACTCTAGTAACTTGGCTAAGGGATTTATGTTCTGCAACTTCGCTAAGGAGCCGGCTGTGTGATATCATCGCTGGATAGAATGGGATGGCCCGTAGCATGTAGCCATGTGCACATGAGATGGGTGCTGCCGTAAGAACCCATCCTCATCTCCTCGAGTGTCATCCTAGTCAACCTCCACTTCATCACTGTTGCTAACTCATCAACCTACATCACCAGCACACACCCCTAACACTCGTCAAGCCACTTTCAGCTTTAATATATCACCTTGGACAAATCCAATAACTAACATTTGTCCCCCATCATGATCTCCCTCTGCCCACACCCCATTGTCCCCTAACTCTTCCTCTTTGTCGCTCTCACCATTCGTCTTCCTATGCATGAACATGATCACCTTATTGCTAATTGTTTTCAGCAGCTTCTTTGGCTTCATCGTCCTGAGCGTCGACTTGGTCAATAAAATGGAACCTCAGTGACTTAGTGGCAATGTCACTCAACAAGGCTTTCAGCTCATTTGAAGCTCGTTTAACATTCTTGGAACATAAAGCCATCAACCATACGATAGATTTGGTCCTCAACTACTTCCACAAAGAGGAATTTGGCTTTGGCAACCTCGTTCTTTTTGAAAGAATAATTATAATTTGTGGGTTTATACAAAATCTTGACACACATGTGTATATATATATAGAGAATAAAGATTTATTTATACATAAATTTTATACATGATATTTATAAAAAATTTCAATCATTCATTTCTTTATTTTTAATAGTTGAAATTTATTTACATTTATTAAAAATAATTTTTATTTTGATCTAAAAAATTATAATAAATCTCAACTTTTAAAAGTGGAAAGATAAATAGTTAAAATTTTATGTTAGTATTTAAAATTTGTAAGTGAGTAAATCCCTCCTTATATATGTATAATGTCAAAAAATATATTTATCTTGTCGAATCTTGTATATATTAAGTTATTTTGTCATACCAACGACCTATTGGTCCGAGTGGAAGGTGCTTGATTCCCCCAAAATAAGATCTCGAGTTCGAGTCTTGTAAATGGAAAAATAAGTATTGGGAGAGCTTCCCCTTAATAGGGTCCGACCTGACTTGATTCCAGATTAGTCGAGATCTAGTTACCGGATATTAAGAGGTTACTAAAAACAAAAAAAGTTATCTTGTTGTAATTTATATAAAAAATTAAAAAATAATTAACAAATCATTTTATTTTATAATATAATATCATAATCTTATGATATAGTAATTTTAAATATTATATGTTTTATTGATAGAGGCCATGAATAAGTAGAAAACATGTGATTAGTGTAATAATTCATTATGTAACAAGAGTATCTACATTATTGTTTAAAAAACTAACATATAGTAATATAATACTTACCAAGCATGATAAATTTAATTAATTAATTTATGGTATACATATAATTTTTTCTAGGTAGCTCTTCCTCAAGCTATTGTCACATTTGTTTTTGCAAGGGAGTACAACGTCCATGCTGACATATATACAAAGCTTAGTGTAAGAATTTAATTTAATTGATCT